ATAGGCGCCGAGCCAACATCCATATTTTTAATAACTTTTGAGATATAATTTATATACCATACAATTCACACATTTAAGTGTACCATTCAGTGGCTTTTAGTGTATCCAAAGTTGTGTAATCATTACCACAATCAATTTTAGAATATTTTCATCACCCCAAAAAGAAACTGTATACCTCTTAGTTATCACCACCAATCTGTCCACCATCCACCCCTGCTCTAGATGGCCACTTTTTTACTTTTTGTCTTTAAACTTGTCTATTCTGAACATTTCACATAAATGGACTTGTACATTATGTGGTTCTTTGTGGTTGGCTGTTGCTTAGTATAATGTTTTTGGTTTTTCTTTTCTTTTCTTTCTTTTCTTTTTTTCTTTTTTTAGAAACAGACTTTCTCTCTGTTGCGCAGACTGGCATACAGCCTTCTGATCATAGCTAAGTGTAACTTTGAATTTCTGAGCTCAAACAGTCCTCCTGCTTCAGCCTCTTGAGTAACTGGGACTCCAGCTGTGCGCCACCATGCCTGCCTAGTTTTGTTTTATTTGTAGAGATGGCATCTTGCTATGTTGCCCATGCTAGTCTCAAATGCCTGCCTCAAGCAATCATTCTGCCCTGGCCTCCCAAATTGCTAGAATTACAGGCATGAGCCACCACATCCAGCTAGCATAATGTTTTTATAAATTCACCCATGTTTTAGCATGATGTATCAATACTTTATTCCTTTTTATGGCTGAATAGTATTCCATTGTATGGACATACCGCATTTTATTTACTCATTTATCAGTTGACGGACATTGGAGTTGTTTCCACTTTTTGGCTATTATGAATAATGTTCCTGTGACCATTTGTATATGAATTTTTGTGTGGACATGTGCCTTGTTTCTCTTGGGTATATACCTAGAGTATAACTCTAGATAAATATTTTGAGGAACTGCCAGGCCACTTTCCAAAGTGGCTATACCATTTTACATTCCCACCAGATGAGGGTTCCAGTTTCACCACATCCTTATCACTATAACATCCATATTTCTACTAACTTTTTTTCCAAGGCAGTCTAGATTTTATTTTTTTTAATCATGGTCCTAAAAATTCTTTCGATCTCTTCTCACTGCCCAGTTTGAAAACCACTTGACATTTTGGGTATCAGTATTTTGTTACAGCAACATTTCCCTTCCCGGCACGACTTTTTTTCGAGACAGAGTCTCACTATATCACCCTCGGTAGAGTGCCATGGTATCACACACAGCAACCTCCAACTCTTGAGCTTAAGTGATTCTCTTGCCTTAGCCTCTCAAGTAGCTGGTACTACAGGCACCCTCCACTAGGCACGACTATTTATATTAATTTTCTATTTGCTGCTATAAGAAATTACTGCAAACTTAGCTATTTAAAACAACACAGATTTATTATCTTACAGTTCTGACCTATAGGCCAGAAGTCTGACACACATTTCCCTGGACTAAAATCAAGGTGTTGGCATGGCCGTGTTGGTTTCTGGAGGCTTTAGAGAAGAATCCATTTTCTTGCCTTTTCCAGCTTTTAGAGTCACGTAAAATCCTTGGTTTGTGACCTCCTCCTTCCATCTTCAGAACTAGCAATAGTGGATCAAGGTCTTCTATCACATCACATTGACTCTGCTTCCACTACATTGCTTCTTTGACTTCCTTCATCTGCCAGCCTCTTTTACTTTTAAAGACCCTTGGGATTATATTGGGCACATCTGAGTATTGTAGGGTAGTCTTATTTCAAGGTCAGCTTATTAGCAATGCTAATTTCCCTTTGCCATAGAAGGTAACATATTCACAGGTTCTAGGGCAAGAGTCCTCTAACTACGGCCTGCGGGCCACATGCAGCCTGCCTAGGACATTTATCTAGCCTGCTGGGTGTTTTTGCCGCTGCTGCCTGTCCTGCTTAGCAGCCGGTTTGTCTCGGGGCCTGCAGTCCTGCCCTCCAATGGTCTGAGGGACAGTGAACTGGCCCCCTGTTTAAAAAGTTTGAGGACCCTTGTCTAGGGGTTAGAACGTGG